CACCTGGGCCGGGCCACTCAGAGTCGCTGGGCTATGATGCCGTATGTGGAGGTGGGGTCAGAGCAGGGAAATGGCGGCGCCCTCCACTGCCGCTGGTCGTGGGGACCTGCCGGCCCGGTCCAACCGCCCACTCCCTCGCCTGTCCACCCACGCACAAATGCGCGACCTCAGTCAACACGCAGCCCCGCTGCCTCGCTGTCTCCCCCGCGGTCCCTCGCCTGGTTGCTCGCTCGGTAGCTCACTCGGTCCGACCCTGCGCCTGGATTCCACGCCTGAGTCCGTCTGACCCAATTTTCCTGTGCAACCCTGCTCCGCCAGCCGCTGGTTTCGCCCCTTACCGGTCAGGCTGAAGAATTTGTTGTTAACGGACTTCCGAAAAGTTCAATTTTCCGTGTTCTGGCTGTGTTTTCTGTTGCTAATATTTAGTTTTCTCTAATCTTGGTTGTGTGAGAAGGCACGGCACATCCACCTATGCCTCCATCTTGGCGGAAGTCCTGTGCTGACATCTTGGCAAGCCTTAATAAACTCACTGATGTCCTTGGTGGTAGCTTGCAGGGGTCCGATAATGGCCCTACAGTCCTTGTTAGCATTTTCATAAGCTAGCTGCCAAAAAAGAGCTTTAGCTGCTCTGTTGTTATCTGTTTGCCTGTCAATAGCTTCTTGGAGGCAGTCAATAAAGTCAGTATACCTCCATAACACCCTGATGGATATTGGCAAATATCTCATCATGGCCCTGAGAGCAATTATCTCATGCCCCTGAGAGCAATTCGAGCACTCTGATCAAAAGCATGAGGATCAAGTCTAGCTTGAGCCACAGCAGTAACAAAATTATCAGACCCAAGCAGCATAGGGAGGGTGACAGGATTATTTATTCATCCATTCTCAGCAGCTTGGATGCTGGTCCTTTGAGAGTATTCTGAATACCAGACAGTATATTGAGCCTGGGTCAAAACAGTCCTGGTGAGGGCCATCCAGTCACAAGGTGCCATTTTATAACTGTCAGTAATGGTTTGAAATATCCCATTAGTATAAGGAGACTGAAGCCCATTTTCTTTAATACTCTTTTTAAAATCCTTACAAAGAGAAAAGGGAAGGGGCTCATGGACATTCCTTTGACCCTTGACTATAATGGGAAAAGCCAAATGGCATCTAAATCACCTGCCTCCGCTGCCTGCCAAAGGCATTGTCTCATAACCCCAACAGGGTATCTGTCTGAATTTTTTGGCTTTCTTGGTGGTGACTGATCTTATGGGGAGGAACGCTCCCAGAATTAAGATAAGGAGTGGCTACTATCAGACAGGTTCTCTGGCGGAGCTGTAGGTAAAACTCTTGTAGGCTGTTCTGCTGCATCATATACAACTTTCTCACCTGAACTATACTCCGTATTTTCCTCTGTAATTAGCTCCTTTTTCTTAGTCCATATAGACACAAGAGCAGTCTTGACTGGTCCTCAAGTTACTAAGTTCTGAACTCTGATAGGAAATCCACTATCCTGTAAAGCCTTTAATTTGTTACCTGCTTTTTCCCCAAACCCTAATATCTAAGGTTCCCTTATCAGGAAAGCAGGGTAATGTTCTTTTATAGTTTGTAAATGCTGTATAAGATGTTGCTGTTCAGCCCTGGCTGGTATAGCTCAATGGGCCTGTGAATCAAAGGATCGTGGTTCGATTCCCAGTCAGGGCACATGCCTAGGTTGCTGGCTGCTTCCCTGCAGGCCAGTTTCCAGCAGGGGACGCACGAAAGGCAACCATACATTGATGTTTCTCTCCCTCTCTCCTTCCCCTCTAAAGATAATAAATAAATAAAATCTTAAAAAAAAAGATGTTGTTGTTTTACTTCACATCCTGATCCTCGGAGGAGTTGCTGCAACACACGCAGGTAGACTTTTTGCTCTTTAGACAAGTTAGAGCCCATGCTTGTTCTTTTTTTACTTTTGATTTCTGCCCTTTCAGATTCCACAGCCCGTACTGAACCCTAGCTAATTAGCTATTGGGGAGTATAGTGTGGTGGGTCAGAAATGTACTGTTGGTGAAAACCGTCAGGGAGGTCCGCCTGGTATCCAGGGTACCCTAACCCCGCTTATGGGTTTCAGGTTTTTCCCACGTGTCTAAGACTGCGAGGGGGGCGCTTGAAGTGCCAGGTGACCAACCTTTATATCGCGCTCCCTGACCGAGCCGAGTTAAATTACTGTGACTGGAATTCCCTGTGAGGCTCCTGAACATGTTGGGGATTGGGCCCAGACACCTCCGCAAGGCCCCTACTCATGTAGGAACACTTGAGATCTCAAGTTGGAGGGAGAAATACCTCTTATCTTCGGAGCTCCAGCAAGGAGCTGAGACACTCATAAACAACCCTGTTAACTAACTATGAGTTCTCAAAGCAATCTTCGGAGTCCAGTTGAAACGAAACACTCATTTACTATCTGTTTTTCTGTTCACAGGTAGGCAGAGGGAAAAGGCAGAATCAAAAGGGCTGCAAAAAGCAGCTTTTAAAGAAGGAATGTGCAGAGGCGCTTGTAAAAAAAAAAAAAAAAAAAGCTAATTGAAAGGAAAATTCATTGCTCTCTCTCCCAAGCCTAAAACCTGATTGGGGATTGTGCCTCAGGGATGGGCTTGTGAGTATCTTTTACCTTCGAAAGATACCCTTTTTCTGTAAAATACAACACACCCTACGCCCTCTGAAAAGCACTCGGAGTCGTCAGCCCTTACTTGGGCCATTGTGCACGTTCTACTCATGTTGGTGTGTTGACCACAATGACAACTGGTAGCCTTTGGGTCCCTGTTCATGGGTACCAGATGTGACAGACTCCGTCCAGCAGAGTCTTTCTGTTGTGGCTGACGACGAGAATAAATGCACAGGTGACTATTGCAGACTCTGTTCAGCAGAGTCCACCTGTTGTGGTTGGTGACAAGAATCATTGCACAGGTGACAACAATCCTGTGTGGAAAAAGGGAACACGCATGACTACTCAAGGGGAGAGTGACTATGATGCCTTGGCCACTCCCTCAAGAGGGGAGCGCCCCAACCCTTGCCTAGACAGGCTTTTATTGTTTTCCTGGGGTCTTACATCATAGATTTATTATCTATCACATAGAACATTGAGTTTTAGCAAAAGCAAGCCATAACAGTCTGTAAGTATTTTCTAGGCCTGATTCCCACGGGTTTGAAGATCTGGCTCCTGCCCACCACTTCACTTCTGTAGGTTTTCCACTCAGAGCTGAGTCGCATTTGCCAGGCCAAGACAAACTGGTCCCTACGGGTGACAACAATCCTGTGGAGAAAAGGGGAATGGCACAGCTACTCTCTCAAGGGGATAGCATGTTGACCCTTGCCTAGATAGGCTTTTATTGTTTTCCTCAGGTCTTACCTCAGAGAAAGATTTATTATCTAGTATGTAGATTATTATCTACATTTTAGGTACAATCAAGGAAATGAAAATAACATGCAGAAGGGAATGGTGATGAGCTGATTAGCTCTGTCCTTGGGAAAGTTTATATAGGCTTTGGATATTACCTTGAAGATAGACAATACACATTTGTTGTTTAGACCAAGGTGATGGAGTTTTAGCAACAGCAAGCCATAACAGTCTGTGTGCATTTTCTAGGCCTGATTCCCCCAGGAAAACTCAGTTTGAAGGTCTGGCTCCTGCCCACCACTTCGCTTCTGTCGGTTTTCCATACAGAACTGAGTCACATTTGCCAGACTAAAACAAACTGGTCCCCTACACCTGGAACCATCATCTGTGTCGCTGCTGCAAACTCCAGTTAATCCAAAACCATGTGGCACTTTCTCATGGCCCACTGTAAGAATCCTTCCCTCCTTTTCTTCCCAGCCAGGTCTCGCCTGCTTCCTAAGCTATGTGGCAAAAGGGAGCACCCCAAAGCCCAGTGATTCCCCCCCCCCCCCCCCCCCCCCGACCGCCCGCCCCAGACTTGCAAGGCTGCCACACCTGAGTTTAAATCCCAGCACCAATCTTCCTCAATGGCCCCACTTCTGATCCCTCCCACAATTGGTTACACCTGCCAGTGGTCCCTATTTTTCCAGCTTTACTGGGCTGCCATAGTAAATCTCCAGCAGGTGTGGCCCCATGGCAGCAAGCCAATCATCTCCAAGCTCTCATAGGCACTGTAACCAGAGTTCCTTCCCAATTACATCGTGGGTTGAAGTCACTCCCATCTCCCTGACTCAAAGCATAGCCACTGCTATTTAACATATCCACGAAACCAGTTAAAAGTTATAGATATGTTAAATGACCATGCCAGAGGTTAGCTGAAAAAGTTGCTATGCAAAACAGCTCTCAATGGCCTTGCTCCCCATGTGTCCTATCCCCCAGTTCAGACTTGTGTGGGTGAGGACATCACACACTCACACACACACACACACACACACACACACACATATATTTCCTAAACACCCAGAGTTCTGGACCCCATTACAAATCCCTATTTGGGGCCTCCCTGGCTGCACCCTATATGAAGATGTCTAAATCTGATCTTTACATAGGAACTCAGAGCCCACTGGATATTTATATTGGTGTGAGTAGTTTCTTCCCGTTTTAGCAGAAACACTCATTGTCCACAGGAGTAAAATAATCCCTAGAGTTGATTATTTGGCAACATGACTCCAGAATGCTCGTTTTGGGTCTCTTGATCACCACCGTCAAAGAAGACGTTTTAACTCAGCACAGAGGTATACACCAGCATCAAAGGCGAAGATTTAACCAGTCAACATTACTCTTCATTTTACCAGGGGCCGAGGAAGGGAAAGGGCCGGCTCTCGGTCCCTCCAGGAGCCCAAACCGCCCAGCCCCACGCTCCTGTGACCTTTACGTTCCACGTAATGTCTGGCCGCTGAGCTCCTAGCTAGACCGCTGGAGGAGGCGAGCAGGGCCAGCCCACTTGGAAGCCACCTCCGGACGTTGGAACCCCTCCCTCGGTGCTTCCTACGGCGAGCGGAGCAGGCCGCGAGTCCCCGCCCCATCTTCGTGACGTCACGGTACGCCTGGGGCGCGCAGGGAGGTGGGGCTGCCTGGGTCACGGCTGCCTGGGTTCCGCTGATTGCTTGTGCAGGGTAGTCGAGCCTTCCTCGTAAGGTTTCCCGACCAGCTTCTAGGCCTCCTCCGTTTCCTTCTTTGCACCATGGCTTTTGTAACGAGGCAGTTCCTGCGCACCGTGTCCTCTACGTCCACAGCTTCCGCCTCCGCGAAGAAAATCGTTGTCAAGCACGTGGCAGTCATCGGCGGCGGGCTGATGGGTGCCGGCATTGCCCAGGTGAGCAGCCCAGTGGCTTCGCAGCCCGTTCGCTTTGCTGCCCACCTGAGATGAGAGCGCTGGAGGGAGCGACCTGGCGGGGTGTCTCGCAGAGAGGCCGGGGTCCACAGGAGGGCCGGGGAATTTTCACCCTGTTCTCCCCCGTGTAGTTGAAACTTCTCGGGTCTGGGCCTGTGACTGTTCATTCCCCAAAGATCCATTGTCTTGGGGCTGTGCCTGTTTGCTAATCCCAAGGTCCGAGGAGGGCTGGGTGGAGCGTGTTGGTGAATGCAGTTTGGAACTGAGACTTGCAGAGAGAAGGTAGTATTGTTTGTGTCCGAAGTTGAGACATCATGTGCTTGCTCTCCTCTTGGCTTACACCCAAATTGCTTCCAGAGACCAGGGATCTTTTAGAATCATACAATCTTTGTAAGAGATTGAAGGAGTGTACTTCGATCTCTTACAAAGAGTACACTTTCTGCTCTCCTAAACGTTTTCCTTTTAAGCCCCCGTGTGCTTCCTTTGCTGGGTTACAAAGAATAATAATAGTTACTACTTTTGTAGAACTTTGTAAAGTTATCTGATCTGCTCCAGAGGCCCTGTGAGTCCACGGAAGGCTGTTAACGCAAAGTTGACCTTTCACCCAGTGCCCTCTGTGTTGGAAACCTGCACAGTTAAGGGCTTGGAGAAGCGGGAGGGGAAGATAAAGCGGCGGGAAGGTCTACAATCTCAATGTACACCTTCAAGACTGCTCGGGATCAGCCAACCTGTGGCTCAAGGTCACTTGTACAATCGATTACCCGGATACTGTGATACTTGCCTCATTTATTTTTTAGCGAATTCCAGCTCATATTGGAGAACCTTGATTTTCACATCCTAGTTGATTATATTCTTAGCATTTCAGCCTTTTGCGCCTTGTAATGTTGAAGGGGAGACTGATTTTTCTTAGTGGAGACTCAGGTGCATTGGATACATTCATGAAAAAGTTTATTTTTCAATGTCCTTCAAGTCAGGCCCACACATCCATGCTTGAGCTTTAAAAATCTTTTACTATTATTAAATATCATAATCTTTCTGTCCCTGTGAATTTTTTGCAACATATTAGATTGCTTTTTATTCTAAAATCAGTATTTCATTAAGATTTTATCCTTCCAACTTTTATAGTTTTTCATGTTTCTGGACATACATTGCCCATTTTATCGTGTGGATGCTTTGGCTGCTAGGTTATGGTGTCTCCCTAATCTGCGTCTGCAAGGTATGTAAGGAGTAAGTCCCTTTAATGTACGTCCAAACATTGTACTGCATTATAGTATAGAGAAATTTTAGCTTGCGTGTACTTGTATTCCCCTGCTCCACCAAAAACTTCCACAATGTGAGAGAGAGATTTGTGTGGGAAAGTGTAAAATAATGTATTTGTTTAAAAACATTTAAATAACATAAAAATTTTTAAATGTATTGATTATTAGGAAGGGAGAGAGAGAGAAACATCCATTTGTTGTTTCACTCATTCATTCATTGGTTGCTTCTTGTATGTGCCCTGACTGGGGATCAAACCCCTCAACCTTGGCATATGGGGACAACACTCTCAACCGACTGAGCTATCCAGCCAGGGTTTAAACACCATTGTAAGGACAAGCTATTAGGGCCTTAAGTCACCAGTACCAATACAGGAGACAGGTCCAGAAACTATTGTTGATGCTGCCCTGGAGACATCAGAGAATGAGAGTTAAAAACCAAGGACAGCCCTGGCTGGTGTAGCTCTGTGGATTGAGTGCGGGCTGCGAATCAAAGGGTTGCTGGTTCCATTCCTGGTTAGGGCACATGCCTGGGTTGTGGGCCAGGTCCCCCGTGGGGGCCACGTGGGAGAGAAACGCATTGATGTTTCTCTCCCTCTCTTTCTCCCTCCCTTCTCCCTCTCTAAAAATAAATAAATTCTTTAAAAAAACAAAACGAATTTAACTTAAAAACAACAAGTAGAAAGCAGTATTTAAGGTTGCTCAGTTCTTGGAATGCTGTGTCCATTATTGGTTGGAAAAGCGTGTTATGTTGCACAAAAAGGCCCAGAGGTGACACCTAATAAAGTTATGGGTGTGATGTTGGAGCTTTCCTATGAGAAAGGAGGGAGGAGACGGACACTGATAAGAACACAGACTTGTGGATGAAATCCTTGAGTAGTTGGACCAGGGAGTGCCTTTTGAAACTTACGGGGGAATAAGAGAGAACTGTTTATCCCACAGGTTGGAAATACAATGGAACTGTCATTCCAAAGTTGATAAAGACCAGAAGTCTAAATAGTGGACAGTCATAAGGAACAGTAATTTCATTCTTACAGAACAGGATTTGCAGGAGCCTCAGCCACTCTAGATGACAGCTCTAATCCTGTGGAGGGGAACCATGCTTTTCCGCAGGATTCTCTGACACTCTCAGCCTGTAGGTTCGTTGGGTTCAGCAATTTAGCTGATCCATTTTTGCACAGCATGCTGGGCACACAGTTGTAAGCAGTATTGCCTCATTCTTCATGCTCCTTGACCTATACAGCTTTTGGTACAGGGTAAATCTGTTTCGCTCGTTGAGTGCCATAGACAGTAGTTGACATGTTTTGACACGTCCCCAGTTCAGTGTGGGGAAGTGGATGGCCCGTATGCTGGTTCTGCCTCACGTTGGCTGTGTAAACATGGGCAAGTTACTCAACCTCTGTACCTACTAATCTCTAAAGTAGGACTAATGCTAGTACTAGCCTCATAGGAGGATCTAGATGATTGAATGAATTAGAGCATGTCAGGCATTTAGCACAGTGTCTGGTACCTACTAAGAGCTCACAAACAGTTAACTGCCTTTATGGTTATCTTTTTTTTTAAATCTTCACCTGAGGATATATAGTTACTGATTCAGAGAGCAAGGAAGAGAGAGAAACAAACATTGATGTGAAAGAAACATCTGATCAGTTGCCTCCTGCACACACCCCAGCCGGGGATCGAACCCTAACAACTGGGAACTCAACCTGCAGCCTTCAGTGCCTAGGATGATGCTCCAACCAACTGAGCCACTTGACCAGGGCTATAATCATTATCTTCTTGCAGTAATGCTTGTCTTTTTGTTCTTCTCCCCTCATACCATTCCAATTTCTGATTGTTGCTGCTGAGGTAGGCCTGTAATGTTTAGATGGAGAGTATTGGTTGTGATTCTGTTTCATCTTGCTTAATGCTGAAGGCAAGTGCCAGCTGATACTGCAGTTTGTCCAGGGATCTCTGAACAAAGTTGCAAGGCACTTCCTGTTCTCTCCCTATCGTATTGTTAATCCTCATAAAACAAGAACAAACTAGCATCTGAGGTTGGCTGCTAATTCATCTTCTGCTTCACTATCTTGAACTTTCTGAAATAGTTTTAATTTTAATTAAGGTGTAGTTCTGTTTAAAATCTTAATTTTTTTAAATTTATCATTTTTGGCATATGTTCCAGTTGGTGCTGAGTAGGATGGAAAACAAATTAAGCAGATTTTGTGGGAGACCAATGCATTTCTTGAGCAATTAAGCAATTTAAGACAGTGAGGTCTGTGCTTGAATTACAGTTGATCAGAGCACAGGTCATTTGTACATATGTATTCTCCAAGAGTATCTGCTTTGCCTGTCATTGTTCTTTTGTTTGTCTAAAATTTTAAATTGCTTAGGCGGCAGGTTAATATTTAAGTAAGGTTAACTTGTTTTTTGTGTTTGCCCATTAAATACTGCTGACTTGGTTCTAATTGCCAATTTGTCATCAGCTGGATACTTAGGCTGGCAAAGAGGTTTACAGCATCAAATGACCCTTGAGTGGGGATTAGGTTGTTTTTTTGCTTTATAAAGGAGGAAAAAAAGAACCCAGAGAATTTGTAGTGTTTGTTAAGTTACTGGTGAGGCGTCAGTGAGCTCCCTGGACATGACCTTTCAGAGGCTGAATTTCGGCTGGGTTTTTCTCTCCCAAAGTGTGTTTTATCCTGCCATCCTCCCTCCCTCCCTCCCTCCTTTCCTCCCTCTCCCTTCCTCAAAAAGCAAAGAGGGTTCATTTCTTCTGGGGAGAGCTCCTTAGGCTGTTAAAACAAAAGCGGGAGCAACATTCTAAGCTACAGATGAACATTTCCCTGACATTTGCGACTTGACGAGGACTCAGGTGACCTAAAAGCTTCTCCTCAGCCACTGATTTTGTTTTACCCTTCACTTTTCTCTGCCCTCAGCTCTGAACTTCTGATGCCAAATAGAAGAAGGATCAGCGTTGTTCTGTATGTTTAACTTTTTCCTCTCTGTTTTAAAGTGAGTTCTTCTCTGTTGGAATTTACTGAAAAACAATGCAGTGGCCTGGGAGAAGTTTTGGGATCACAGAAGACTGGCATAATCTCTTTTGACTTTTCGTAGGGGAGTGATATTTTTCCTCCCCAGTGATAACTTCCTCCTGGAGGGTATGGGATGTGTTTGTCACAGGTGCTTCGTTCCTTTCCTGTACTGGTGCTCACTTCTCGATTGGGCTGTTCTCTGCTCTTTGTGATATACTGGGGCAGTAAGTCAGCTTCTGTTAGCAAGTTAGTGTTCGGACTTGGAGTGGCCCTGACCGGCATAACAAGAATGCCATGGAATACCTTTGGACATGGTAGAGTAGAGATGGCCCCTTGGGTTTGGAGTTCTTTCTGCCAGGTGCTAGATCCAGCCTCACTGCTGTCTGTCCCCTGCTTGGGTTTCTAATTTCCTTTCCTCCCCCTTCTCTCTTTTCTCTGTTTCTGCTTTCCTGGAACCACAGGAAGATTATGCCGCTGCTCTCTGTTCTGTGTCTGGCAAGCAGTGGTCTAATGCTTGAAAGTGAGCAGGCCATGAGCTGCCTGCTGGAGTTGGGATCCCAGCCCTTCCTTTCCTGGCTGTGGGAGCCTTGGGGGAGACATTTAACCCTTCGCTGCCTCAGCGAAGGCTGCCTCTGGGAATTAGGATGCTGGCTTTACAGTGTTATTTGAGTTAAATGAGCTAAGTGCTTAGAGTCATACTAATGTGTTCAGTGCT